ATTTTTTTTAGCAGAATGATAATCAGACTCTAACGTGAAAATTTTTATAAATTACAAAGTTTTGCAAATTCTTAGAACTGCATCGTTTTTGCCATTTCAACTTTCAATTGATTACATTCGTAAGTAGCTTTATGTTTGTCTATAGACCTGCCCATTACAAATTTTTCTTGAAAGATCTGTTTGTCTAATTTACAGATTCTGAACCTCCAAGAATTTTAGCGTAATACGATCGAATTTCGAATTTTTATCAAAATTTAAGCTAGTATGTATACATGGGAAGAATCATGCTTACTCACTTAATTAACTGCAAATTGTTCTTCCAGTCACAGCCATTAATAATGCATCAGAAATGAATAATAAAAAATATATACTCCGTAAAGCCTCAAGATATTGGAGATTATTGACGCAGTTTTTTGAAATGAGGCTTTCTACCATACTTATCATGAACAACTCTTGACTCATCTCGAAATTTATTGTTTTTTAAAATGAAATTAGAGAAATAGAAGCTCCTAAAAGCTTCATTTAGTTGAGCAATCATTAGAAAATACTTAATCTCTAATGATTGCTCAACTAAATGAAGCTTTTAGGAGCTATGAAGAAACCTGAGGCAAACCAATGCGCAAACAAAAAAATCAAATTTTTTTACGAAGTTAAGATTTATATGCACTAGAACAAGAAGATTCATGGACTGAACAATGAAACAAAAATTTCAATAATATAATTTTTTTTTCAATGGTTACATTGAAACAAATACGTTAATCAATATTTTTTCAATTTGCACAAATTGTGCAGCAAAATGAGCTAATTGAGAAAACACAGTCCAAGCCTGTCCTTTACAAAAACCGGAGCATTGAATTGTGAGGAAAAAAACTAAAATCTAAAAAACCTATTCTTGATTTAACAATCTTACATAGGTAAGACAAAAAACATTATTCATAACAATGTTTTTGTTCAATCATGACATTTTTAAACGATCCATTCTAAGTGCCCTATTGAAAAGACAAGCTGAAAGCTTAGAAAACAGATGATTCAAAGAAACAACAAAAAATAAGTTAAAAAAATTGTATATGACAACACTTTTTGACGGATGAGGTAGCCTGTTTTGAATAAACTTTTTTCCACAACAGACAATTTTTTCCCATTATGCCTCACTATAATGAAGGTTAAATTTGCCAAAGGGCAGTAATGTGAAAAAAAAAATCTTGCCACCCCTTCTAGAAATCAATTTTTTTTTGCCACAAACAAATTTGGAAAAAGCAAATTATATATTTGTATTTCAACAAATGGAGGGAAATGTTTACCACATAAGCACGCAAAAAAGTGAAACTGCTTTTTTGGTATTTTTTTCAGCGGGGTAGTTGATTTCAAGTTTGGTTGAGCAAAAACTAACGAAGTAGCGAAACAAACGACCAAGAGGAAATTGCATGGAAATTTAAACACAAAACTGATAAATTAATTCAAATAAATTTGTATTTCGAATGAAGTGGCTCAGTGGCAATGATGATAAAACAGCAGAAAAATTTCTCAGCTTTTGTACTGACGAAACAAATGAAGTATAAGAAACAAAAAAAAAACAAAAATGAGCAAATTTAGCTGAAAAAAAATCAATATTTATTTAAAAATGACTTTTCAATCAAACCAAAAAATTTTTCAAAATTTTCAGTTTTCACTAGCTTGCTTAAATTTGAACTGAAAAATCATTTCTTAATTCGCTGCAATCCCAGTTAAAAAATATACTTCATAAATATTTGTTTCAATAAAAGAAGAAATAATTTAGAAATTTCTAAAAATGACATAATTAAAAATAAAAAAGGTTCCAGTTTTTGCGATCAAATGCGGTACCCGTTTTTTCCTGAAAAAATGATGAAAAACAAGTCATACTCCAATATAAAATTCTTCTAAGCTTCGCGGTAAAAAAACAAGGTCCATCGGTTGCAATGCAAGAAGCTCAGAATATTGCGCTTAAAATGTTTGATGCCAAAAACTTTGAAAATTAAGCGAGATTAACAATTTGTTTTAACACTCTTATTATGGTTTCTGTTGTTTCTTCAGTCCTGACAGCCCCTTGGGAATTAGAAAAACTGCTCAAGTATTCCAAAAACAGAGAAGCGGAGGCTTATACCTCAAGAAAACAGCATTGTAAGCTAGCAGACAGGGAAAGAAAGGAGAGGGACTGATTCCGAAAAAAAATTAAAAAAAAATAACTTTCGAGCGGCAACTGAGCCGACTAAATTTGGTAATTTCTCGTAGAGACGAAAACAAAATTTATTATAAATAAACTACTGTAAAATTCTATTCAAACTTTTAAGCATTTTGCGCGGTCTAAAGAGGAGCATAAAAATTTTAGTTCTCATGAACTAACCCAAAACTAGATCACCGAGACAATAACAAATTAGCCGAGATCATTTGGGCCGATTTTTACCAAAAAACATTAAACAAACGAAAATGTACAAAGTGAAGGCTAGTAAAATAACACATTATATGAGTAAATCTCACTAATCGCAATTACCAATTAAACTTTGTAAAAGCTAAGTTAGCTAAACCTAAGCAGAAAAATAATCGCCAACTTTTTTTCGAAACGGAATATTTCCTGTTTAGAAACGTCAGGCCTTGGCCACGTTCAAACCCAGGAACTTTACCGTCTGAGGCGTTTTCGTTACTTTTAAAATATGAGTGCCGGAGAATCCAAGAAATTGGATTTCATTATGAACCAAGATACTGAGTGATACTGTTAAACAAGAAGGCAACCTAAAAAAATTGTTCCAATTTGATAACGCTCGCCCATCAAAAGCGTAGTTAAGACTCATAATTAATCACATATTCAACACTGATGCAAAACAAAAGCCAACAACGGCAAAGCATCTTTAAAGGCAAAAAAAATACTACAAAAATCAACATTAAAAAACATTGAATATAGAAGGATTCGATCCTCTTCCAGAGCTTACTAGTAGATTGACCTTCAAGTTGATCCCCGTCTTCTCAATCTTTGGAGACACTCCATGGTATTGAATACCATTTAGCAAGGAATTTGTTTATACAAAACGGAGAAAACATAAAACACTATTTAGCCAAGTTGACAATTTAATACCTTGTTGCTTCTGCTTTAATCAACTCTTATTTCGGATTTTAACAGTTCAGAGATATTGAATTTGAGAACAAATTTCATGCAACTTAGCTTGAAGAAACGTGATCAAGTAGAATACCAAAAGCATTTGCTTGTAGAAAAAAAAGTTAAATCAATTAGTAGGATTGGCTTTGATACTTTTCCCTGATTTTCTGAACAAAAATCCTTTCGCGCAGTTGTTAGGAACAATAGGTTTAAATAATTCAATTTGGAATCTTAACTACGTTTGAACGAGTTTTTTTCATGATAAAAAAAAACAACGGAAGATGAGCAATTAGATGTGGTTTATATTGGAAAGGAATACCCAACAGCGGTACTAGAGTCTTTGAATTCAAGGAAAATGAAAACTAAAATTTCTTTCTTAGGTTTTTTTTGAAACACCAAGGGAACAAATAGAACAGACGTTTTCAATTTTAATTATTTTACACAAAAACGATGCTGCACTTCGCAAATACAAGCCACAAAACGCCAAGCAGTGGCGTTAAAACGGTGAATGAAAAAATTTTCACAAAATATAGACACTGAAAATGAATTAAAAATGCCCACTAAGAGAACCAAATCAAACTTTGAGCATTCAAGTCGACAGCCCTACACAACTGTGCTTCTGACGCTTGAAGGACAAAACATTAGCCACTCACAAGACTGCAAAGACATGGTAGTAAACCACCAACACTACCCAGAAGAAAAGCCATCAAATTAGCACTATATTATGCGATATAGGTTTAAAAATGAAGACATGTAAGATAACACAGTTCACGCAAGACTCTCCATAAAATTCAAACTATTGTGAGAAAGGGATTTTTTTTTCAATTGAAATAAAGTTCTGACTTTTCAGCTTTTTTTCCGCGATTTGCAATCTTGCTATTGCAGGGTTGCTATTTTAGGGTGTAATTTGTCTTCAAGTAAAATTGAACTGAACACGAAATATTAACACAGAGGCGAAGCGGAGCTTCGTATCACTTGCGATACCGAAAAAATAGCATTGCAAGCTAGCAGACAGCTAAGGAAAGGAGAGTCATTAAGTCCAAAGAGAACGGAAAATTGTCGAAGCAATCACAACTAAAGATCTCGAAATTGCTGTCTGGAATGAAGTTCTAGTGGCAAAAAAAACACGCCAATAACACATTTGATAGCCTTCATTGAAAATTCAAAAGCAATTATCAAGCAAAATAAAAAATGTGCTCATGAAAAAATGAGAACTATAAACTCTTTTCTGAGATTTAAAACGTTTTGTGCGATCCGGAGGAAAGCACACTATGGTTTTCTCGAACGACGCAAAATAAGGTAGATAAGCCGATAAATTTTAAGCTGAAATCGTTAAATCTGAAAAATTAAAGCTAAAAAAAAGATATGAAGTCAAGAGTAGTAGAATTACAAATTGCAGGAGTATGTGAAAACATGAAAAACAACTACAATGAAAACTGCATGCAGCAAAAACGATCTGGCAACTAAGCCGACAAAACATTAGCAAACAAACAATAAACCGATAATTTTCGTAAAACTCTATATTTCCCGTTTGAAAAAAAAACAGGGCCTGGTCCGATTCGAACCTCTGACCTTTGCTGTAGGAAACGTATTCGTTACCTCCATACTGAGTGTGCTAGAGACGATTAGAAATTTGAATTTATTATAAACCAAGGTACATTGTCATTCAATCGGTTCTGTTAAACAAGTTGTTTAATCCGAAAAAGTCTATATTCCGATTTGATTACGGTTATCGCAAGCGTAATCAAAAGCTGTAATGCGAAAAAATTATTAACAGGACAACACTTTTAAGGGAAAAAAGGAACGCGAAACACGATATAAATAAGTTTCTACGCCGTCTCGATCTAAAACTCCAACCACCGATTGCTTAATAAGGTTTCATTATTCCAAGTAACATTCAAAACATATTATCTTGAGTTCATCTGCTTTGAATTGACAATTTACAAGATCAGTTGACTCTAATCTCACTGTGATTCATTATCAGATGAAAATATAGGGCTATGAAATGCAATCAGGGTGAACACACAAGCACGAAAAAATGATTAGCATTTAGTTTCTAAGTTTTTGCAATCTTAGCAACTTTTTGGGATTTTGAAGCTAAAGAAACCGAATTTAAGCCTTCGGAAAACATTTTGAGACTATAAAAACATCCAATTATTTGTTCACCCTGTTTATTATATGCAACACTAAATCAAGAACTACAGAAAATCGGCATTTTATTTCAGAATAAAACTCAATAACTCTTTTCTCGTTCGAACTGCTTGATGCAACGAGAATTCGAACCCATAAAAATGACAATGAAAATTAACATATTTCAGAAAATGTACAGAGGCAATGATTTAATATTTGCGCTGCATCAAAGTTTTACTATCAAGTTTTGTCAGAAGAATATCCTAAAAAAGCCAATAAAAAAGAGCAGATCATATATTCACGACACTTCCTATTTTTTTTTCATTGTCAGCTTGTTCTGAGCCAATCCAATTTGTCTTCTCGCTTTTAACTTGCCTCATTTATATTTCCCATAACATGACTTATATATTCTAACACGAATTCATCAAGTCAAATCTTCAACTTCAATAACGAGCAAAACAGTCAATATCTTCATTTATCTCATCTACATTCAATTTTTCTACGTAAAAAGAGTTTATCTGAAAGGTCGTCTGCATTGCTTTGAATCATCGCCATCATCTTGTTTGAGTTTTTTTAGTCTGGTCTGAAACGTAGAGCTGATGCTATATTCGAGGAGGGAGGAGGACAAGGGGGAGAGGAGTATTGTGGCTACTGAGTATTGTGAGGTGAGGTCATCTACAGGAAATAGTAGAGATGGTGTCTGGAGTATGTGTTCTTGTCGTCATCTGGCACTCTGGGGAATCCAGCCACCAGTGCATCCTGTCCTCCAATGTAGAGTGTGTTGTATATCCTCCAGTACACATCGCGCACTTTCCTCGCGGGATGGAACAGTCCCTGAAAACATTCACATTATAACTTTACAATATTTCTATTACTTCGATAGCCGCTTTCATATACCACAGAATTTGTTTCAACAAAACAAGGAAAAACAGTGGAAAAAAAACAACAAAAAAACACGAGAAAACGACGAAAAAAACAACAAGAAAGTGGGGACTGACTCATATCATGATTTGGGGGCGCGTACTCACGCAATGTCAATTTAAAACAAAAAGGAAGCTATCAACTTTACTTGGCCTAACGAGGTTGTAAAATAGACGTTTACTCGGGTCTTTTTTTCTCGAAACATCATGGTGAAATTTAATAGATTTGTTTTTATACCAACTGATGGCCTCCTAAACTGCAGTCGATTTTGTTAACTGTTATCTATAAAATCTTAGGCTACATTACCTGTAAAGTGTACTGCAGTATCTTGTTCACTCCTAGTGACACCCTCAGTCCCTCAATTGCTCCTATGACTGCCTGCACCACGTGGGGACTGGTCTCGAATATATTGGGCCACATCAGATTCAGCAGGTGGGTGAGGGCGTCCTCACACCCAAACCCATTCACTCCTAATGCCAGGTGCTGAATGGTGGCTGAGGCTATCTGTCGATGCACCAGGTCTCTAAACAGATTTCAAACGTAATGATTAACAATTATTGCCACGTGCTGATCTATTTAATGCAGCATATGTAATCCTGTGTTGTGTTTCAGTGGGGCTTAATGTAATCCAATCAATTCTGTATCAATCTTTTCGCCAGGGCTCTTAACAACATCAAGACGCCATTTCAAAACTAATGATTCTGTTAGAAGTAGGCTTTCTTTAGTGCTGAGAGAAAATTTTGGATCTGCCCCAATGTTCACCTTGCGCTCATTTATCCGATCTTGGCGCATTTTCAAAATCAAGCAGAAGCAATAACTAATTTTATCCACTGAGACCATTTATCAGCCTTTTACAACACGGACTATGCAGCCTCTAAATTGAGCATTACCTCTTCAAAATCATGTAAAAATGAAATGGACTTTTTAGAGATGAAGGATCTTTTTAGTACATGAATTTGTTCAAATATATCAAAAATATTGACAAAATTTGACAGACGGCCACACTCGAAACCACAATTACCAGCATTGACGTATTTGATGTCTATTCCCCCAAAACAATAAACGCCTCAAACAATCAACTCAAGTGCTTAAAATTAATAACTCCTCGAAACCTTTAAAAAAAACAACTCACCTCTCCATGAGTGCATCTTCCAAAAGAGGCGTGACCGCATAAATATAATCCTTGGCCATCTCCCCGATATACTCAAACATGAAGGACAAGGACTTCAGCACTCCATTCTGCACATTCAACTCTGGCACTCTGTATTCATTCATCAGTGCAGGCAGTACTGTGAAGGGGGAGCATGTCTCACTCACTATGGCTATGGCCACTGTAGTGCACACTCTGTTCTGTCGCTCTTGTACTTTCAGATTGTTCAGCAGAGTTGCAAGCACGTCGTGTGGTCTAGAAGCATAGCATGAATTCATTTTTCCGAAAGCTTATATTAACTACAAAGTCGGTTGCTGTCTAATAAGCACAGGAGGTTCCAAAAACGAGAAAAAAAGATACCAAAATTCAGATATGCGCTGGAATCAAACCACTGACCTCGAGATTCAACGTCACACGTCTGCTGATACCACTTTATAACGATTAAACACTATGGGCCTAGCTAAAACTGGAAGTATTTGTTTGATAATATTTTCAACAAGGTACTGAAGCGAAAACTAACCAAATTTTCAGAAAGAGAAAAAAAAAAGAATTTTGCTGTCTATCGAAATGAAAGTTCGTTCTTTTCGAGATAATTCAAAGTTTCGGTCACAGTTTCAAAAAACGGACTTTTCCTAAATTTAACCTACAAAAGATTGATGGAGAAGATTGCTAGCACCTGTTCTTTCGATTGAACCATATCTTTCAGATTTGGCAGGGTATTTTTCGACAAAAGCCTCCGAAAAAAAATCAAATGAGACCTTCTTAAGATCCAAAACAAAGGTCCGTCAAAAAATTAGGGCGCAGCTGCTTATAAAGAGATTTCGAGTAGCTTTCGAGATAACCAAACAATTTCCAGAAACGAACAAAATTTCAAAAAATGGACTTTAGCTAAAACCAACATTTCTTTTAAAACAGTTAAAGCCTAGCCGCTACGAAGAGAAAAATTCTAGCACATGCTCTTTCGATTGCACCTATTATATTCGATTTGGTAGTGTAGTTTTTGTGAAAATTCAGAAAAATTCCAAAACGGGCAAAAATTCAAAAATAGTGTCTTTCCTAAGGCAATAACTTGTTTCATCAAAAAAATATAGGGCGACACCACTTGTGCAGTTTAGATTTACAAAACTTAATCTTTTAAGCGAACCCTTAAAAACGTGCAAAACAAACAGCTTCAGAAAAATGCGCCACATGCCGGAATCGAACCCCTGACTTAGATATTATGAATATCACGTCCTCACATCTGCGCCATGGTCTCTTGCCAAAACACTAGCCACCAACAAAGCACAAAAAACCTAATGCTAAAAAAATGCCAATGGTATGATGCAAGGTCACCAGTTCGAGTTTCTATTTGCGTGTTGGGTAAGAAAATGAGAAGATTCATAAAAAAAACTGCACTATCTAGCTCTGATGGGTAAATAAGACAAGGTTCAGCTAACCAAATTCTCGTTAATTTTTCACCAGGAACTGCAAAAATTTTAAACTAGAAAACATCAACAAAAATATATTTATATCAAACTACCAATGGAAAAGAAAAGTACGCTTCTATTAAAAGGACGTCAAGAAATATATGTTTATACTAATTATGAAAACTCAGCAACCTCATTTTAATTCATTGTTTAGCCCAACTCATTGCAGTGCCGTGTTTAATTATCTGCACAAACTTTAGAGAAATTTGCAGATGTAAGTTGATCTTCGACAATGAAAAAAAAACTGCAAATCGTCCTGCAAAAATCACATCGAGCAATTACAGACCGTTTCTCGAGCAATTACAGACCGTTTCTCGAGCTTTCAGTTTTTATACATTTGAGGAAAGTTTTCATTTTATTTGTTAAAACAAAGCCAACAGACAGCTGGAAAGAATCATGAACGCAAGAAAACCGAACAAAAACTGACTGTCTATTGAAAAAACTTAAGCTTTCGAGTTTCAAAGAAATATTTATATGGCATTACTGCTCTTTGAAATTCAAAATAATTTATCATAGACCATTTTTTAATAATTTTTTAGCTTTATAAAAAAATGGTCTATGATGAATTGATTTTTAATTTCAAAGAGCCTCAAGGCCAAATAATTTTTTCTTTGAATTTCAAAATTCAAAAAAACTGTCAGGTTTCGTTCGGTTTCCTTGCTTTCATGACTCTTCCCCAACTGTCTGTTGGCTATATTTTACACAGAGACAAAGCTACGCTTCGCAAACAATTGCTAGAAAACGACAAAAATATTATGAGTCTTACACGCCAATCACTAAGCCACGGACACTTGATTGGTGCCAAACACCAGCCACAAACAAAGCAGAGAACAGGTGCTATGCAGTTTCCAATGATACAGTAAAACTTCAAATAACTTCTGAATAAATAGTACAGACAGTTACCTCAAATTCGAGAAACGGCCTTCAACTGCTCGAGGCGAGTTTTTCAGGACGATTCACACTTTTCTAGCAAAATTCTATACCTCTTCTTTTAAAAAAAAATAACTTTCATCTGCAAATTGGAGTCCCAGCTAAATAAATTTTCGTATTGATCCATTTACTTCGCTGAGAAATCTTAAAAATAAAATTCCACTTTCGAAACTTGCAGTCGATCAAGTTTTTTGCTTTTCGATAGTTGAGTTTGCCTTCCTTTTAACAAAAGAAATGAAGTGAACTGAAAAAAAAATCAGAAGTCAAAAATCACAATTGAGGGTGAAAAATGCAACTTTTCCTGGAAAAACAGAAAAAATAACCATGAGCTATATAGGAGTACTCACTACGCTCATTGCTCTTAAAAAGTCAAAGCTATGATATATGTTATTGAAACCTGACTATGCATCGAACTTTGTTGAAGGCTACATTCGCTTTTAAGTGTAAATTCGAAAACATATATATCCCAATAATTTCACAGAGGCAAAGCGGCATTTCGCAAACGCAAAAAAAAATAAAAATATAAAAAACTACATCGACAAACGTATGTCTCCAATGATGTTCAATTTAAGGAAAACAAGTCGAAAAAAAGAAAACCAAGCGTCAAATTGTTATCGGAATAAAAAACAACCGTTACAAAGTTCCTCCTCACTTCTAGTGGTCGGAAAAAAAGCTTTGAAAAATAAATAAATTACCTCTAGGGGATTGAACTTCCGACTTAGAGTTGGAGTATATGCAAATTTTGTCGAAAAAAGTGAACTCGTAGCATAAAACAAGCGTAGCATAAACAATGACTCTCAAAGAAGGCTGCACAAAGTTTTGGTTCATGTGTTGAACATTATTATAAGCAGCCTTTTCAAACATTTGACTGCAGTAAAAAGAAATTTACATTGACAAGAAAGCATGAATTATCGGATCGTTGTCCATATTGAGTAGCTTTGTATTTACGCAGCTTTTCTTCATTTGGGATTTGGCAACAAATTCTGAGTTGTATTTCAGTTTTATGAATTAACATCCAAAACTGACGTTATCTTAACTCTAGTCTGGATGCACAAAAATATTTAAAAAAAACAAATGGTTCCTCTCATATTTTCACCTGCTAAATTAATGTCAGACCTCATCATTTATTCCAGTAACTCTTCCTATTTGTTTCTGTCTTTTTGTCTACTCATGAGATTGGTAAGAACGAACACCTTGATGGCAGAAAAAAACTCATAATCACCCTCATACAAAAATGTTCACAATTTAAAATCCAAAATTCCAAATCCTCTTCTTTTACATCGAATTAACTTTCATCTGCAAATTGGAGTCCCAGCTAAATAAACTTTCGTATTGATCCATTTATTTTGCTGAGAAATCTGAAAATTAAAATCCACTTTCGAAACTAGCAGTCGATCACGTTTTTTTGCTGTTCCATAGTGGAGTCTGACTTCCTTCCAACAAAGGAAATGAAGTTCACTAAACAAACCCAAAAATCAAAAATCAAACCCCAAAAAAATGAGCGTGAACAAATTTTTAATACCTTTTCCTGAAAAAAAAACAAAAAAAATCACAAAAACCTATATAAGAGTATTCACTACATTTGTGGCTCTTAATCAGCTAGCTATGAACAATCCTTGGTCATGCTCTTTTCGACAAAAGCCGCATACAAATAACAAAAATACAGCTTCACCAAGCAGTTTTTTTTGTATCGATGGATGACTATCATTCACTGGAGTCAGGCCGTAAGGAGAAAGAGCCCTGCTTTGGTACAGTGTGACTAAATACTCACCCGATGGCCTTGGCGATGTATCCGAATGTGTTCACACTGGCCCGTCTGATGCTCTTCTTATGTGCCTTGAGCAACTCCAGCAGTTCGAAGCATATCCTCATCCACTCCCTCGCACTAACGTACTCCGATCCCCTGTCTGCGATACGACCCACAAGGTCTATACAGTTCTCTTGCACCTGAAACACACGAGTAAAAATAAAAGTCACACACGATTAGATGTGGCAACGATTTATAGCTAATGGCTAATAGTTGGCAAAACATCCTTTTCGGTAACAGAATCTAAACGAAGTTTATACACCCATTAATTCTCATTTTGATGTCGCAAAACAAAATTTTCAAACATTTCAGCACGTATAAAACGCGCCAAAGATATTAAAAAGGTTCCGTTTTTATGGTCGATTAATTTGCTCGAGGTATACAGTGCTGATTTAAATTAACCGGACAAAACGAGCTTAACTTTAAATTTAAAACGCGTTTTTCTCAATTTGGTTTGAGTTTAGCTGAAAACTTGTGAATACAAAACTTGCTTAAAATTTTAGCAGAATTAATATGGTGCAATTTGTTTTGCGAATTTCGGGCTCAAAATTTTACCCCAAAAATGGGTCATTTTGGCTTTTCTTAGTTAATCAAAAATTACGCCAAAAATACCCAGTCAATCACGGACATAAATATATCAACGTGAGCCCCTTACGTAGCCCAACAAACTTTGAGAAAGGTATATTCTCCAAAACATTGTATAATTTAATTTATTTTTGTTTGATTGACAAAAAAGGTAGTTTTTACTACATAAAATACTAACTTTTTATTTAAAAACAATTTTTGAACAACTTGCAATTCATTTTTGAGAATTTACCCTTCTTAAAGTTTCTTGGACTACGTAAGGCGCTCTCTTTGATATAATTATGTCTGTGATCGACTGGGTATTTTTGGCGTAATTTTTGATTAACTAAGAAAAGCCAAAATGACCTATTTTTGGGGTAAAATTTTGAGCCCGAAATTCGCTAAACAAATTAAACCATATTAATTCTGCTAAAATTTTAAGTATGTTTTGTCTTCATAAGTTTTCAGCTAAACTCAAACCAAATTGAGAAAAACGCGTTTTAAATTTCAAGTTTAACGCGTTTTGTCCGGTTAATTTAAATCAGCACTGTAGCTTTTAACAAAATTATCGGTCAACGTCTAAAATAATTCTGACCTTGAGACAGTGAAATGCAGTTGTAAACACAACCGAATTTTCAAAATTGCATTAAAACTGTAGAAAGAGCATACCAAAATGATTGCGCTTTTCACAGAGGTCAGTTTTTTTGAACATAAATTGAAGCCCCTAACTTCCCTACAAAATTCATTCAGCAGCAACCTGACATGCAATTTTTCAATAGGTAAGAACACATAAAACGCCCAGAAAAGCAGTTCTTTTGAATTTCAGATTGAAGGTCAGAATTATTTCAAAAATTTAAGACGTCCGATAAATTGTGTAAAGCTATACAAATATACAGTGCTGATTTAAAGCATCCGGACAAAACTTCAATTTTCAAACACGTTTTTCTCAAATTGGGTTAAGACTAGACAAAAAAAGAAGAGAACAAAAGTTGCTAAGAATTTCATCAGAATTAATATGGTGCAATGGTTTCTCCGAAATTCTCATCCAAAATTTTACCCCAAAAATGGGTCATTTTGGCCTTTTTCATTGAATCAAGAATTACGCTGAAAATACTTTGTTAATTGATGAAGATTATATATTGCAAGAAGCCTATTACACAGCCCAACAAAGTTCTAGAATAGCTAAATCTCCCAAAGTTTGAGTAAATTGTTTAGAACTTAATTTTAAGCAAAGTTTTTGGGTTTTATATTTAAAAATCTCGTTTCTTGATTATCAAGAAAGAATATTTTCTCTTATACAAGTTTTTGAAGATTTAATCCTCCTACAACTTTGTTGGGCTGAGTAAGAGGCTTCTTGTGATTTTATATTCCTCATCAATTAACAAAGTAGTTTCAGCGTAACTTTTGATTACTTGAAAAAAAACCAAGATGATTCATTTTTGGGGTAAAATTTTGGCAGAGAATTCCGGAGAAAAAATTGCACCATATTAACTCTGATGAAAATCTAAGTAAATTTTGTTCTCTTCACTTTTTGTTTAATCTTAACCCAATTTGAGAAAAACTTGTTTAAAAATTCAAATTTTGTTCATTTTGTCCGGATAATTTAAATCAACACTGTATACTTTTAACTAATTTATTGGACAACGCTTTAAATTCTCAAAATAGCATTTGAACTTAATGAATTCTCAAAAGAGCAAGAGACATGTCAAATAGCGTTTCTTTTTAGAGAAGTCTGTTTTGAAAAACTTCAAGGCCACTTCTTCAAAAAAAATTACTCAAGAATGATCTGCCATGCAATTTTTGAGCAAAAAGTTTGGGCCACCGACAAAAAAGGCAAACGCGAAAAATCAAAGAGAAAACTTTCAATTAGATTCAGCTTGAAGATCAGAATTACTTCAAAAAATTAAGACTTTGTCCAACAAAATTATTCTAAACTATATTGCATTAACTATAGATTTAACAATAAGCAACATAACATTATGATTGCAAGCAAAATTAAACTGGGAGCAGAGCTATTCGGAAAGGAAGTTGTTTTTTGATAGTTTCGCAGCTTGAGAAGCCTTTCGGTGTTTTCAGGTACCAAAAACTAGCTGCCCAGTATAATTCAAAACTTCCTGAATCACGTTTGAAATGCACTTTCGCTAAAATTATCTGCGCCAGATTCAATTTTCAAATAAGTTTTCGCCGAAAAGTAGCTTTATTAATAAAACTTTTGAAGGGAGAATTGCAAAAAGAAGAAACAGTCCAAACTTAAGGGCATATAATTTTGATTTTTCGGATAACATTGAGACATGAATTCTGTATGAAAATGTAGCTGTGTCAAAATTGTTCCAAGTTCAACTGCTCTTTTTATCTAAGCCATCCAGTTTAAACTAAATTATTTACTACTTCTTATATGAATTTGTACAATCTAATCTCAGAACTCACTTTTTCGTGTCTGTTTTTGAGGATGGGTGTCAAACGAGGAAGGAGATCCTTAATAGGTGGGGTCATCTTAGTCATGCCGATCACATTCACGATGGCTTTCAATGCACCCAGGATACTTCCCAGTACCTCCGGGTACTCCTCGCCCAGGTATTCGTACAGGACCACACCCAAATGACCCATCAGTTTTTCCTAAACAACAAACAACAATAAACAATTAATTATTTCAAAGTCCGGCCCATTTCGTCATTTTTCGACAGTCTGATTTTTTGGCTAGTGATAACAAACAAGCTTGTTTTAAATACAAAGACAACCGTTCTGAAAAGCACAGACAGTTTGCATCAACTTGGTGATTTTAGGTCAACGTCGTAGTCTAGATTTATCTATATAGACCAAATTCCATTTTCAAAACTATAAGTTTGAACTCCAAGTTTCAGAGGATATTCTGAAAAATGAACTGATGATTAGCGATAGCTTGAAAGTACTCCAAATTCAGCATTGATCCTCATATACTTTTTTCATTATTCTAAAAAGTCAAAAACTCGCCCTTTAGTCTGCTTCGAACTTAGCGTAATTACATTTAGATACCACAAGCCCATGATTAATTAAGCGCCAAATCTACATTGCGATAAGCTATTAATTCGCCTGTGAACACTTACCTCCTGGCATATCTTCATGACAGCGGCTATCCTTGCAATGAGATCAGCAGCCTGCTGTCTCACTTTGGCTGTCTTGTTGTTCAGTCGCCACAGCACTGTTCCACATATCTGGGGCAAATATGGCTTCACCCTCTCCCCCAGTGCAGTCACTATGGCCCCGAATCCATTCAAAATCACAATGTCCTCCGTCGTCTGCTCCTGAAATTCAACAGCTATTTTTATTATACCGCCTCTGATACATTAATTGGAGTGGATTACAAAAAATCGAGACAAAACACTAACTATTTTTCCATAAATTTTTTATCCTCCTTCACCTATTTTAAAACACAGCTTCAGTTTTTTTGCTATTTCCAGGTAAAATTTGTAAAACTAGGTTTCGTTCTCAAACTTAGGTTTTGTAAAAATACGTTTTGTTCTCAAACTACAATCGCAAGTAGCCCCTCGTTTTTTAATCGTAATTCCGTATGAAAAAAAACTCTTCGCCTAAAATAAATGTCAGCCTCTTTTGAGCAGAAACAATTGCAAGGAAATTACTTCTATTATCTAAATCAAATTTTAAGAAATTTTTAAAAATGTCTTCGAGTAACATTGAGAAATACTTCAATGTATACAATGGAATGCTTAAAACATGCCATTAACCAAATAAATTGAAAACCCCCTTGCCCGAAAACAAAGATAGCTAATCAGAATTCAGTATTTGAAAACTGGAAAGAATTATGTTTGAAATGATTCGGCGCCGGACAGTTGAACGGACCCTGATTGGTTGGAAATTTTTCTCTTTTTTTGCCCGAAATTCTTACAAAAAACAGCCTATCAACTAAAACTAACCATAAATTTGAGAAAGTGAAACTAGCCTGTGGAACCTGATCTAAACTACATTTTATGATTGGATAATTTAGATATTTTACCAATGTAAAGTATTTAATATTAACCAATCATGATCCATCTAACTAACAACCCACTTATTTGTAAGTGCTGAAGTTACTTGTAATTTCAGCACCAGAGAGATTTGAATTTAACTTAGAAATTAGTTGGACTCTCCCGAGCACTTCAGCAACCGCAATAAACCAGTATACCCTAGATCTATTGAGCCTAGCAGAGACTAGTTAAACAACCTGAGACTAGATAGTATAAGAGTAAGATTAGGATCGGTATTAGACTAAGGAGTTGCACGAATCTATCCGGCCGAAAATAAGATAGCGTGACGAGCAGACGGTGTACCCTATCCGAAATTACTCTATGAGTTAACCAACTCGGTCCTAACTCATCTGGTGCGACCATAAAGTCTCGAACAAGACCTTAATAGCTTAGAATTAACCAAAATAGATTAGAAATTAGACAAAAACATTTACAAAATGTTATACGACAATAATTTAATCGAAATGTCTCTACGACTCAATAGATCAGAGCCAATATTCCGAACCATAACAGAACTACCCGGAATTGGAAGAAGACCTCGAACCAGAGACGACATACGACAAAGTAGAAACTTGCCATATAGCTATATGATAGTTCGGCAAAAGCCAGAACAAACTTTTATATTTAGAATACTACTGGCAATGAATTTAGATTTTCATTTGCAAACATAAAACCTTGAAGTTAATCTTCAAAATCATTTCAGGCGCTAAACAAAATTATTAATATACAATAACGATTGATAAAAAGATCTAAGATCGTTTTCCTAAAACTCTGCAGTAATATACAAAACATGTTTGAAAAATATTTATTGAAAAATAAAAAATAAAAATTAGTAGCATGACAATAAATGGTTAGTAATCATAAATCATCCTGTTGTTCCAGCTCCATCACCTAAAACATAACAGCAATCATAAACCCACTAAAATCATCAAAACACTAAATCTTTCCTTTACACATATTTAAAATTTTATTAAAACTTAAATTCACTTAATTTTAAAACCAGATCATCAAGGCTTATCCTTGGATCTTAAATCATTTTCTACTTAATTAAATTTCAAATTTGATCATCAAGGCTTATCCTTGGATCAAACAGAACAACTTTGTTCTCCCCCACCCACTTAATTAGTGTCTAACGACCTCAAACGTCGATTCACTACCCAACCCTTTCTAAAGACCTAAGACTAATAGAAATTTTTAAACAAAACTAATCATTCAAATTAGGATAAACAGTGAAGAACTTCGGTTATTCATCCTTCACTTGACCCCCCCTCTTAACAGACCCAGGATAAATCTTAGACTTAGTAAGTTTAAAATAGTATCTAACGAACTACTCGCGTTCTAATTATACCTGAACCTTGTGGATCGATTTACTATTCTCCAACCCTTGAACACAATCACTACCCCTAAGTAAGATTAAGTAAGTTAACACCTTAACTTATACTAGCCACGAGAAAGTAAAAAATCATTCTTCGGAATCGATATACTTTTCTCTCCAACCCTGAACAAATAGACCCAGGTTAAGCTAACCAAAAAATCGTAAGAACTAACAGTTTAGGAAAATAGAAATCATTTAACAACCTTTTGCATCCGTCATCCTAAACCTTATGTCATTTAAAAACCTAGGAAATAAACAAACAATCGTTTTACACAATTGTGAAATAGATAACAAAAAATACGACCTTGTAATCACACCTCATACACAAACAGTTGGATACATTCGAACAAAACGACAAACACTAAAAAGAAAAATAATAACGAAACAAAGACAAATAACACGAAAAAGATTTTCAAAAAATCGAAACGCATTTTCAGAATCAGAAACCAACAGTTTAGACGAACTTTACAAACTAAAAGAATCAATAGATAAAAATTGCCCACTTCACGATCAATTATATTTTTCTGACTCAGAAACAACTTCAAATTCATCAAAAAGAGGAAAAAGAAGAATAAAAAAGCAGTATAAACACAAACCAGTACATTTATACAATTGGAATCAACCAATTCGACACATTAATAATTACATATTAACAGTCATCGAACGAAAAAATGAGCTCAACGCACACCCCAGGTGAAGAAAGTCCAGATGATGATGAAATCTTTCCTTTTATAGTAGATGCAACCACCGATAGAGGACAGCATATATTTTGCAAAAATTTACTATTAAATTTATTTGAACCCGGAATCAGTCCATGTAAAACAGAGTTCCCAGATGTAAAAATCAAAAGACAAATCATAGACCACTACTTAAAAGATATATGCAACATAACGCAACAGTATGGAATCTACTCCATAGAATTCACCTCACCAAACCATAATAATAGAAAATATACAATTCAAACAGACGATCTTGATTTAGAATTTTCAAAAGTTTTTTCAGAATATATAAAAAACATCCAATATCATAACTCACAAAGAGCAAACTCCATATTCACTAATGAAGTTTTCGCAATAATATATAGTTATATTTCGATATTAGAAAACGAAATCCCAATAACAAATGTCTCACCGACAGAAACATCTAAACATTTAAGAGTACGACATGAAATCACACTACTCTCTAGTTATTTAAACATCATTAAAGAAAATTTCACGAAAGACGACGTTTCACAACATACAAAACACGATCTACAAAAAATTTTGGCATGGTTCATAATAGATTATTTCACACACAATATTGATTTAATTGCACAAGCAAGAAAAAATTTTAGACCCCAAAACTCGAACGATGATACCGCTATCACAGAACAATCAGATTATGTTTGGGACCCCGAATGGTCTCATCCCGCATTTATAAGCTTCCCACAATCAATCTCAAGTCAAGCAATAAGTACGATATCTTACATAAGAGATTATGTAAAAGTAATACCATTAACCATTGATGCAACACCATTAAACTATAATACATTTTTGCCCGATACACAAAATAATAGTTTAAACTCTACAGTTATACACAATGAAAACCTCAATGGAACTAGGAATCTTACTCAACAAGATATCCAGACACCATCACACTTCATAAATGAAGAAATTGTACACACAACAACTACACAACAAAGTATTTCACCAATACGCCCAAATTTAACAACACCAAGAAATACAAATCCTTCACAAACACAGGTAACCTTACAATCAACCGTTAAACCTTCGGTTGCCCCTAAATATTCACATATGGATTACCAAACATACAGACCCATGACAATACCATCAAAAACACGCAAAACATTCACTAGAAACAACTTTGCAGACCATAATTATAATTATACACATCCATCAAAAACATATAATCAACCACAAAGAAATTTTAACCAATATACAAGATCTCGAAATTGGGATAACCCAATGACCCAACCTAATTCAATAAATTTCCAAACAAATCCTCCACAGGATCACAGTGAAAATTACCCATTTTTTCAACAAAATAAAAATAAAAAACAGACATCTTATCAAATGGATTATTTATCCTCAGATGATGATTTCTTACAACCAGATATATTTGCACCAAATACTCAAGAATATCGTAGACAAGGAATACAGAGAACACGTACAAATCATAGAAATTTTTCTCCACAACCAATAGATGCACAACATCAACAACCAATTCAACAACAAAATCTAATTAATACACAATCTTTTCAACCAATTCAACAACAAAATCCAATGACTGCACACTCGTATCAACCATCACAAATGCAAAATGAAATACCACTCACATATTATCTCCAGCAACATGAAATAACAAGAAACCAACTTTCAAATTTTTCTCAAATGCCAAATGCAGCAGAATCATTACAAATGACAATGAATCCATACCTTATGGGTGGATCATCAATAACATCAAACAAACCTTTAATGGTTTTCACAGGAACAGACCCTGAATACTCTGTAGAAGATTATTTAAATGCAGTAACAGCAAACCTGATTTTAAATATTGGACCTGAACCAATTAATACGCCACTACATCAAAATTGGATACATCGACGCACAGCGTTAATACAAACAACCTTAGATGGCGCAGCCCAAAAATGGTTTTCAGTACTACCTCTAGAAATAAAATCAAACTGGAAAAGGTTTACACAGGAATTTTCAAAAATGTTTGACTCCGAAAGAAACAAACAACAACAAAGAGTTTTATGTAATGAAATTCGCAGATTACCAAACGAAACCATCAAGCAAATAGCAGTACGAATCGAAACACTAGTTCGAAAAGCATATTCATTAAATACACATGACTATAAAAACACAAAGATGAAAGAAATCTTAATGATGACCTTAACACCACA